CTTCTCTCAGGCTGACTTCACAAATAAAAGCGAACTTCAACTAAATAACGTGCGTCGTAACACACCAAATCAGATTTATAATTACCTCTATTTGCATTAAATAACTTTTCAGAATGGACTTCTCTGCAAGTTGATTTCGGCCATCTCAATAAACATCTTCTTAAGTTAGAAATGCCCAAAAATAACATTACATAGCCTACTGACAGAAAAAAAGTATTCAATGTCGCATGTCTTCGAAATCTCACGAGTAGGCTACATTGTAAAATACAGTAATACAAGACTGGTCTGTTAGGCAATATAGGCTATATCTAACTCTACATCGTGTAGGTTGAATTGAGAAAGTCGTCTTACCGTCGGTAAGTGTATGTCAGAGTTACTCTCCGAATAAGCCGTCAAAAACAGCGTCATATCTCAGCTTAGACAAACGGGTTATAAAAATGGAGCCTTCTCTGCAAAGTGAAAGTCTTGCATGTTTCACCGCCTCTCGTAGGAGGAGCGATAAGCGATACTCTGGACTTTGTTTACACCACACAGAGAGGAGCTTACAAGGCCCTCCCCCTCCCCCACCTCGGTGCCTCAGACCACATCACTGTCATGCTAATGCCTGCATACAGACCGCTCGTTAAAGTCACCAAACCAGTTCACAAACAGATACAAGTGTGGCCGGAAGGGTCGTCAGAGGCTCTTCAAGACTGTTTTAACACCACTGACTGGAATATGTTTAAGCAGGCTGCAACATACATATTTATGTTCTACTGTTAGTGTTATCTGTATGCACCAAGGGTCTGAGAGTAACGCAATTTCAATTCTCTGTGTGTATGTGCTGTACATGTGGAAGAATTGACAATAAAGCAGACTTGACTTGACTTGAATTCGACTGCAGTTCAGCACATAATCTACACCAGCATGCATTTCTTAAAAAATTTGTGATCTTTTGAACATACAAAGGACCAAACACATTTTTTATTTAAAAATATATATATATATTTTTATTTACAAATGTCTACTATACATAACATATACATAACATATATATATATATATATATATATAAACCCCCCAAATTATTTCAAAATAGTGTTATCAGAAAAACATGACACTATTAGGGTGTGTTCACACTGTAGTTTGGTTCGTTTGGTTCATTTGGTCCGGACCAAAAAGGAAAATGATACATTTGGTCCTGGTACGCTTAGCGTTCACATTGGCATTTTTGACAGCGAACCTAAAGACACCGAACCTAAAGATTAATAGTGATACGTTCACAACCTGATTGGTTGGCTTGAATGACGAATATATCGTGATGGAACTCACCGAACACCCCAAACAAAAGGTGCATTAGACTTAAAGTGGCACTGCGGGTGTATGATATCAAAGCACACATTAACCAATCGGTCTGCTCAACGCCGCTTTAAGTGCACACCTAACACACCTAATGCCGTCTGCTGGACTAAGCGCGCTCATTCTTGCGTGTACATATAATTTTATTTTCACCACCTGCAAACTCACAAGGTGCTCATAAAAGGCACTTTACCACATCGTTGCTCCACGTTTGCCCTCTGCTCATTTAAGATCGTTGGTGCCTCTCTCCCCTCCTTCCAGGACATTTACAACACCCGTCTCACCCGCAAAGTCCTCTGCATTGCAGGTGATCCCACCCACCCGACACACAGCTTCTTTAGTCTGCTGCCATCAGGGAGGAGACTGCGGAGTCTCCAGGCCAGGACCCTTCCTCTTTTTGGTTCGTTTAGAAGTATTTGGTCCGTGTTGCATTCATATATCATTCGAACCGCACCAGAGTTCGTTTGGAAGCAGACCGAGACCCATCTTTTTAGCGGTCTCGGTCCGCTTGTTTGGTGTGCACCAGGGTTCGGATGGCAGCATTCACACTTACTCAAACGAACCGCACTAACAGAGTAATCGCACCAGGGTTTGTTTTAATCGAAGCAAACATGACAAGTGTGAACGCACCCTAAGGGGTCTTTGGATGCGACATGCACTTTTGCAAGTTGTTTGAACAGAAATGTGTGTTGGCAGTGTGTGAACACAACCACCCTATAATGATAAAAATCCACCCAGTGTTTTTTTTTTTATCTCGTTAAATAATTTCCCCTTTCTTAAATCAAGACGTTCTCAGATTCTTGGCTGTGTGACATCACACAGGCCAAGGCCCCTCCAACGATAGTTGATTGACAGTAGTGTTTCAGCACAGACTGGACTGGTGTCTTACCTTAGACCCGCCCTGAGTGAGCTGTCAACAGTCCGCCATTGTTTCACCGCCTGAGCAGGTGTAGACCAGAATGTCTCCTAAGCGATTAAGGTGTTCTGTTGTTGGATGTAATAATGAACATAGCAGTCGTCATTTACTCCCGACATCTGAGCCGCTGAAGACGCAGTGGATTACTTTTGTTTTTGAAGGGAATGTGCCCCCGATTTGACTAAATGTGTCTATGTTCGCGCGAATCATTCGTGATCCAGCTTCACCTACAGAAGAAGTGAGTATAAGGTTTTTGGATGAATCTTTGCAAATGGCCTTTCCAAATAATGTGCTAGTTAGCAAGTTTCACGATGCGGCTAAAGTTTACAATCTCTCAGAGAGCGGCTCGTAAGAGAGGGGCGGGGTCAGCAGAGCTCATTTGCATTTAAAGGGACATGCAACAAAACGGCTTGATCTGAAATGAGTTGTTTTTGACAGGGTAAAAAAAAGGTGTTTTTTTTTACACTACCATTGAGAAATTTTGTTGTATGTTACAGACCTTTCATTAAGACCCTAAAGAATCATATCAACTTGTGGAAAATGGGCATCCGATGACCCCTTTAAATAAAAAGCGCAAATACTTTGTTTCCTTTTCCAAGGTTTTCTGAGAATGCAGGAAAAAACAAATTCAAATGAAAAACAAAATTCAACATGCAGAAAATATAAGTAGCATATACTGTTGTGTTTACAGTTAATAGCTTCTATTTTTGGACAAATGCAAGTGTAGTGTGACATATGTTGTGTTTTATGTCAGTTCATATTGAACACTCAACTTTACCTTTGTCATTAAAGTGTTTAAAGTGTTTTTTAGGGATGTTAGATTGTTGAGAAAAGTAGAAAATGTTTCTTGTTTTTGTCAGTGGAATTGGTGGAATTGTAATATTCCAGTCTTTATATACTATAAGGTCATCTGTTGTAATCATGGGCAGGTTTGACTCCTCTGGAGAAGTCTTTGGGTCCGCTCTCTTCTAATTAGGTTCTGTAAGAAAAGAAGCATAGAAAGTAAACAGTGTAAAAGAGTTCCTATCAATCTAATAATTAATTTAGTCCCCCCACTACAGCGATTGGTAACTATTCACAATAAATTATGACATGCTGACAAAGACAGAAAAACTGCATAATTCAAACAAGATGCAAAGAACATAAAACTTTTCTTTTACAATCTCTCTTTATTAGTAAGACAAATATTACTTTAAAAGACTTGACCTACTTGAGCAACAACACTGAAGGTATGAACGACCATCTATTCTTTGCTGGTGATGTGTAGTTTATAAAATCCATAATGTTCAGGTGTGATGCTTGTGATGGTGAGAGATCCTGTATCGAGGTTCAGTTTCAAACTGTCTTTGAATTGTTGAATTGTTTCATTATATAGGTTTACCTCATTGTTTGTTTTATTCAGCGTAGCTATTAAAACAAATTTAGCACAACTGCGTTCTTTGGAATCTGCAAACTTCCACCATATCATGTCAATTTCCCGTATTTCAGTAAGATCAGTGTGTAGCGTGACAGATTGTCCCTCAATCACTGGCATTGATGTGATTTTATCTTCCTTAAGAAGCACACCTGGAGAACAAATAGAAACCGTTTTTTAGATGGAGATTCGAATTCTGTTTCCATCCATGTATTTGTATGCAATGTTTGGGGTATCGCCTTAAAAACACTTGAAAGAAACGACAAGATGAACAGAAAACCTTAAAATGTGCAAGTTATAATTTGCGCCAGTTTCCCAGGAAGTGACAATGAAAAAACATGTGGGATGGAAACTGTGTTTTATTCGCAAATATTTCATGCAATATTCCAATTTAATTCACAACTTTGGATGAAAACAAAATCTTGTCCAACTAAGCTTGCGACTTCCTACAGCCCATATAACAATAGT